TACTACACCTCTTCTGTGGTAATTCATAGTGGCATTTGGGGATATTTTTGACCTTCTACATAAGAAACCAATTCCAAACACCTAAATAAAAGAAGCTGGTGTTGATCCATTTCAGAGAAAAAGGCGGGGGGTGGAGATTATCTCAAGATTAAGTCCACAATAAGGATCTCTGTTTCCTCACCCCCACCATGTAGAACAGGGCCATAGTTATGCCCAAACTTTACATATTTCATCCCATACAATAGCCCTGTGAAGGAAGTATCATTATCCTCATTCTACATATAAAGAGACTGAGACTCAGAAAGGCAAAGTGACTTGCCTGAAGTCATACAGCTACTAAGTGGTGGAACAAGGGGTCAGAGCCAAGTTTAGTCCCCAAACTAGTGTTACTCCACTGTCTGCATGAAGCATGAATGAGCAGGAAAGAGCTGAGCCAAGCCAAGGACAAAGTTGCTGGCCACATCCTTCTTTGGGGAGCCTGGGAAGCCCCATATCTGGTGCTGCTGGGCAGATAGGACTGCCTCCCTGGTGGGAGGAAACCGTGGCCAGAGAGCAAAGCAACTTCTCTGGCTGGACTTGGCTTCTGTACTCAGTGACCTCTGGAAGCTCAGGCTGGAGCTGGGCGTGCAGTTGTTGCCAAACTCCTCAGCCTTGACCTGTTCACAATCCACCTGCCCTTGCCACACAAAGTAGGGTTCTAAGCCACAAAGGCTACAAAGTTGGGGGGAATTCCTGGGACAGCCAATCCTGCCACTTCCTCCAGGCACAAGCCCTTGACCCCGAACGAACCCTGGGAAGCTGCCTGCCTTTATCTGTGACTTCCAATAACTCCTCCTTGGTACCTTACTTCCTTTCTGATTGTTGATTACAATGTCTTGTCTACATTTTTTGAAAAATAAAAGGGGGAGGGAGGGAGGAGGAAGAAGAAAGAGTACATTTCCAGGAATTGTTTCACTGCTGCCCCTGTAGCTGGAGCAGAGCCGTTTGACCTACTCCGCTCCTTCAGCCCCTCCCTCTCTCCCTTCCTTCCAACCTCTCCCTTTCCAGCTGCGCACCTCCTCCCTCCCAAGATAAACACCACATGAAAACTGCAGAGCTATGACTTACTTCTTCCTGAGGGAGCAGATCTCCCTGTGTGCCTCTGCCAGGCCGGTGCACCACCATTTCCTCCAGTCACACTGCACATACACTGGCGGCTTGAGGGGCGGGGGCTGGGAGCAGGTGAAGGTGAGGCTGCGGGGGCGATGTCCCCTCACCCGAGAGAAAAGGTCATGGAGAGGAAGATTCAGAGACACAGGAGACATGAGCCGTTAAAATGCAGTCTTGGCTCAGTGGTTGAGCATCGGCCCGTGCACCAAGAGGTCACTGGTTCAATTCCCAGTCATGGCACATGCCCAGGTGTGGCCTCAATCCCTAGTTGGGGACCTGCAGGAGGCAGACAATCCATGGTTCTGTCTCACATTGATGTTTCTATCTCTTTCTCCTTCTCCCTTCCTCTTTCTCTAAAAAATCAATAAAAATATCTTTTTTTTTTTTTTTTTATCCTCACCCGAGGACATTTTTCCATTTTTTGCACAGATAGAGTGGGAGGGAGAGAGAGGAAGAGAGAGAGAGAGAGAGAGAAACATCGATGTGAAAGAGGCACATCGAGTGGCTGCCACCCGCACGACCAACCAGGGCCGGGGACAAACTGCAACCGAGGTACATGCCCTTAGCGGGAACTGAACCCGGGTCTCTCCAGACCGCAGGCCGATGCTCTAACCGCTGAGCCAAACTGGCCAGGGCAAAATATCTATTTTTTTTAATTCAGGCTTGAGAGGAATAAAAATGGCCATGGGTCCAAATGTGTGGTCAGTGTGGACAGTACAGAGACCAGAACTAGGGGAGTTTGGTCTAGCGGACTCTCCATCTTATGGGTCAAAGGCATGGAGAAGGAAGGAACAATTCTCGCAAGGCTGCTAACTCAAAAAGATATCCTTAGGCTAGAAACGGAGATCCTAAAGAGAAGGAGAGAGAGTAGAACTGTCTGAAAAGTCAAAGTAAACCACATTTTATATCGTCACAGATCATCATGACAGATACCTTGATCTCTGCCCCTAGCTCCTGGGTAATGGGAGCAATTAGAAGCTTGGAACCTGCAGACTCACTCCCCATCCTATAGGGAGAGAGTGGGCTGGAGATTAAATTAATAATCAATCCTAGGTTGCCACACAAAGTTGGCAACTAATAATTAATTAATGTAAATTAATAATACATGCCTCGGTGATGAAGCCTCCATAAAAATCCCTCAATATGAGGTTCAGAGATCGGGTTGTGAACACATCCACTTTCCAGGAGTGTGGTGCACCTCAGCCCCATGGGAACAGAGGCTCAGGACCCTTCCTGACGCCACCCTTGTACCTACCTCTCTATCTGGCTGTTCATTTGTATCCTTTATAATAAACCAGTAAATGTAAGTAAATGTTTCCCTGATCTTGTGAGCCATTTCAGCAAACTACTGAAATTAAGGGGGAGTTTCAAAATTGACTTTATAGCCATGTGGGAAGAAGTGTGGGTACCCAGGGGATCAATTGCTAGCGACTGGCATCTAAAGTGAGGACAGCCCTGGCCGGTTTGGCTCAGTGGTTAGAGCGTCGTCCTGCGGTCCAGAGAGACCCAGGTTCAGTTCCCGCTAAGGGCACGTACCTCGTTGTAGTTTGTCCCCGGCCCTGGTTGGGCGTGCGGGTGGCAGCCACTCAACGTGTCCCTTTCACATCAATGTTTCTCTCTCTCTCTCTCTCTCTCTCTCTCTCTCTCTCTCTCTCTCTCTCTCTCTTCCTCTCTCTCCCTCTCACTCTGTCTGAACAAAAAAAATGGGAAAATGTCCTCGGGTGAGGATAAAAAAATAAATAAAAATAAAGTGAGGACAATCTTGTGGGACTGAGACTTTACACCTGTGGAGTCTGACACTAACCCAGGTGGTTGGTGTCATTCCCTAGCTGGTTTGGCTCAGCGCTTAGAGCATTGGCCCTCAGACAGAACAATTATGGGTTTGATTCCTGGGCAAGGGCACATACCTGGGTTGCAGGTTCAATCCCCAGCCCAGTCTGGGTCCTAAAGGAAGCAACCAATCAATGTGTCTCTCTCACACTGATGTTTCTCTTTCTCTCTCTTTTTCTCCCTCCCTTCCACTCTCTCTAAAAAGCAATGGAGAAATATCCTTGGGTGAAGATTAAAATTAATTAGCAAACTTTATAAAAATCCGCTCCCTGAATGGGTACACAAAATGTGCTATATCCATGCAATGGACTGTTACTCAGGCATAAACAGGAATGAAGTACTGATACATGCTACAATGGAGATGAACCTCAAAAATATTAAGCTAAATAAAAAAAAAACAGACACAAAGGTCACACATTGTATGATTCCATTTATATTGAATATCCATAACAGGTAAAATCACAGAGACAGAAAACGGAATGGTGGCTGCCAGAGACTAGGTGAAGAGGGAAGAGGGAGTGAGTGCTTAATGGGCATGGGTTTTCTTTTGGGGGGTGATTAAATGTTTTGGAACTTGATAGAAGTGGTGGTTGCACAACCAAATGAGTGTACTAAATGCCACTGAATTGTACACTTTAAAATGGTCGATATTAGCCCTGGCCAGTTTGGCTCAGCAGTTAGAGCGTCGGCCTGTGGTCCAGAGAGACCCGGGTTTGGTTCCCACTAAGGGCATGTACCTCGGTTGTGGTTTGTCGCTGGCCCCAGTTGAGGTCGTGTGGGTGGCGGCCACTCGATGTGTCTCTCTCACATTGATGTTTCTCTCTCTCTTCCTCCCACTGTCCCTCCCGCTCTATCTGAGGATAAATCCAAAAGTGTACTGGGGAGAGGATAAAAAATAAAATAAAATGGTCGATATTAAAAAATAATAATAATAAAATAAATAAAATGGTTGATATTGTTTTGGGAATTTCACCTTGATTAAATATATATATCTAATCCCCTCCAGCCCACACACCCTTGCTCTACATCTTTCAAAGCGAGGGCCCAGCTGCAGGTGGCTCTGCCCTCTGCACAGTGTGGCTTGTGTAAAACAGGCACCTCTCTGGGCCTCACAGAGGATGATAAAGCCCATCCTTCCTCCCCACAGGGGTACCTCGGGGGTCATATCACAATACAGTCCATTCTGGGTGCCTTACCCTATGGGCTGGAGGAAGAGAGAAGCTGAGTGACTTTCAATCTCTCCCTCTCTCAGACATACACACACACTCACGAGTTGGAGCCCCGGGGGAAAGAATGCAGTTCGCAGTTCTCGTCCTCTCCAACCAGGAATCTCCCCGAAGCTCAGTGTTGCCCCTCCCCACCCCACGTCCAGTCTTCCCTTTCTCTCCAGATTCTCAACTCAGATCTCCTAATGAAGGCTGGGGAGAATGGCGGGGGGTGGGGTGAGTCAGGAGGGGAAGGGCCAAGGTGACAAAGAGTCTGACTGATTTTCTGATTTTTTTTAGCCCTCCCACCCCTCTCCAGTTCTGTTTTAGTAGGAATGAAGACAGATTGGGAGAGTGCGATTTCAAGCTGATTTAGAGTGGAAAACACATACCTATGTAAAGCATCAAACACAGGCCCAGCCCTGTGCTAAGCACTTCACCTAGATGGCTCATCTAATTCTCATGCAACACCCCTAATGGTAGATACTTTTATCCCATTTTGCAAAAGAAGACCACCCGGACTTTAAGAGGTAAATTCTCACAGCTAGTGAGTGAGGAGTCTGGATTTTAATGCTTGTGGCCTGACTCCTCCCCGTCACTGGCCACTGGCACACTGGGTTTTTTTTTGCTGTGACTTCCCCTCTAACTGGATTGGGGGAAGGCAGAAAAATAACCCGCTTCTCTCCCACAGAGCCTCAGCCAGTGATACTGCTTCCTGGATGAGAAAGAAGGACCGCCCTGAAGCCCAGAGCAAAGCCAGCCTCAAGGCCACAGACCCTCCCGCCTCCTTGCAGCTCCCCAACAGTGTAGACCCCTTGGCCCTCCAGGACCAGAGGTGCGCCCTAAGGAAACTCAGGTGAGTGTCACCCTCTCTCAGGGAAGAAGGGAATGGGGCTCGGAGACAACTGCCTTTCCTACATGATCCACAGATGTTCCCGGGGGTGAATTAAAGGGGTATGCACACGCGTGCACGCATCTGTGTGCGTGTGTGTGTCCTACACCCACAGATCAAGTGACAAGACAGAGCGAGAGCCTCCTGAGGAAGGCCACTGTGAAAGGGCCAAGGTGTGAAGTGCCAGGAGAGAAGTGGAGGTCAGAGCCAGCCCACATGAAGCTGGCGAAGGGTGGCACTGGCCAGGCTGGGAAGAAATTTGGTTGGGCAGAAACAGCTCTAGTCTCTCCCACCACTGAGGCCCCTTGACAAAGCACCTCTGCTCTTGGGTCAAAGCTGACAAGTGAGTTGTATATTATTTACTCACAGTTTGAACGCTCACTTTCCCTTTCTTGACTCTTCAGACCCAGAATCTTTCCCCAAAGCCTCCTGGTCCCAGTGACCTGCTATCTGAGGGACACAAGGCTGTTTTCCAACTCTCCTTTCTCTTCCAACCCTCTCTTCTCCCCACTAGGCATTTGCAGGTCATAATGTCAGTCACGGCCAGCATGGAGTCTGGCCTCTCCATGGGAGTCACTGCAGGGCCTGCCAGGGACACTGGAGAGATCCACAACTGGACCGAATTGCTCTATTTCTTCAACCACACAATGCCCGAGTGCCACATTGAGCTCAGTGAGAACACCAAACGAGTGGCCCTCTTTGTCCTCTACTTGGCCATCTTTGTGGTCGGGCTGGTGGAGAACCTCCTGGTGATCTGTGTCAACTGGCGCTGCTCGGGCCAGGTGGGGCTGTTGAGACTCTACATCCTCAACATGGCCATAGCAGACCTGGGCATGATCCTGTCTCTGCCCGTGTGGATGCTGGAGGTCACGCTGGACTACACCTGGCTCTGGGGCAGCTTCTCCTGCCGCTTTACCCACTATTTCTACTTTGCCAACATGTACAGTAGCATCTTCTTCCTGGTGTGCCTCAGCATCGACCGCTACATCACCCTCACCAACGCCTCTCCCTCCTGGCAGTGCCGCCAGCTCCGAGTTCGGCGGGCGGTGTGTGCAGGCGTCTGGGTGCTCTCGGCCATCATTCCGCTGCCCGAGGTGGTCCACATTCAGCTGGTGGAGAGCTCTGAGCCCATGTGCCTCTTCATGGCACCTTTTGAAACCTACAGCATATGGGCTCTGATTGTGACCCTGTCCACCACTGTCCTGGGCTTCCTGCTGCCCTTCTTTCTCATCACAGTCTTCAATGTGCTGACAGCCTGCCGGCTTAGGCGGGCAGGACGGCCCGAGAGCCGGCGCCTCTGCCTGCTGGTGTGCTCCTACATGGCCGTCTTTGTCATCTGCTGGCTGCCCTACCAGTTGACCCTGCTGCTGCTCTCACTGCATGGGACCCACATCTCCCTCCACTGCTACCTGGCCCACCTGCTCTACTTCTTCTACGATGTCATCGACTGCTTCTCCATGCTCCACTGCGTCGTCAACCCCATCCTTTACAACTTTCTCAGCCCGGGCTTCCGGGGCCAGCTGCTGAGAGCTGTGGTCCATTACCTCCCCAAGGTCCAGGCCAGGACGGGCAGGCGTGCCTCCTCTTCCTCCTCCTCCACACAGCATTCCATCATTATCACCAAGGAGGGCACCCTGCCGCAGCCCCCGACCCACCCCAGCCTGAACTTCCAGGCACCAAACACCTCACCCATCCCTGTTCCTCAACCTCTTATAGCCAGCTGAGGTAGATTGCGGTCTTCTCCGTCAGTGGAGTAGAAAGCTGGAGGTGTAGGTGAGAGGTTTTGGTGGGGAGCAGGGGAAAGGGTCAAAGCACTCATGATCAATTTTGAATTTATCTTGTATCTTGAGGTGGGCAGAGGGAGAAGGGGCAGGGAGGGATAAAGAACGGGTCCTTGGTATTGTACTATTTGTCTCAGTCCTTATGTCTAAGGCAGACACAGGGGAAAGGGTGAAATAAATAATAGACAGCCATGATGTTGACTCTCTAAAAAACCCGCACTTGCAGCTGTGATTGGGAAAGGAGCTAAGGCTCGAGATGCTCAGCAGAAACCACACTCATTACAGAAATCACCCTGGCCGGAAAGAGTGAGCTCCGCAGGAACCTCACCAAACTTTCCTTTGTTATTTGTGTGTTTGTTGACCTCCCAGCACTACATGCAGGCTGTGGGGACAAGAGGCCAGAGGCCAAGGAACCAGAAGTTCTCGGCAGGATGTTTCCCAGCAGCGCATCCTCAGTGCTGTGATAAATGGAGGGAGTGGGGAAGCAGGGGCGGGGTGAAGCCTAGGTCTGAGCAGGCATCCAGCAGCGGGGTTGGCAGGGTGGTTCTCCACACACTTCCACCATCCAGGAAACTCTATTTCCTTGCTGATTCTCTCGCATGTCCATCCTACTCCCTTCCCCCGAAAGCAGAGAAGCTGCCCCAGAGTCACTGCTCTTCACAGCCCATCTCCTCCCAGCTTTGGATCTAGGACATTTCAGATCGAGATGAGATGCTATTAGACCTCCACCCCATCCCTCCCTTTTCCCCCAGATCATAGAATACCAAGGGACATCCATTCTGGGAGCAGACCCTGGCACAGCCAGCAGCCGGCACTGACAGATGCTCTGTCCCTCCATAGGACAGGGAAGTTAACTTTTCCAATTCTGTCACAGGACAGAGTTCTGGTCTTCTGTCAGTTCTCATCCTCATACTTCTTTCTCCCTGGCCTAGTCTTTGCATCATTTATCTATCCAGCAACTTACTTCTAGTAACACTTGTCATATAGATAGGACAAGGAGTCCTTTTGGTAACAAGTAGGTCTTCTGGAAAGGTTCATTGGTCAGTTTGGGAAACTAGGGTCATGTCCATGAAGAATTCTGACTGAAGTAAAAGCCTAGAACAGGTTCAAGTCCACTAGTTCCAAGTCCTTAGTCTCTTAATCCTGCCTGAAGACTGAAGGGCCTGGGGACGTAAGGACTGCGAGCCACTGTCTTGCTCAGTGCTCACTGTCTGTTGTTTAACTTGGAATAACTCATTGGCCTGGGGTGCTGTCTCCTCTGTTAGAACCTGAAACCACATTCACCGGATGCATTAAAGATGTGCTCCAGCCCTGGCCAGGTTGGCTCAGCGGTTAGAGCATTGGCCTGCAGTCCAGAGAGACCCGGGTTCGGTTCTGGCTAAGGGCACGTACCTCGGTTGCGGTTTGTCCCCAGTCGTGGTTGGGTTGTGTGGGTGGCAGCTAGTTGATGTGTCCCTTTCGCGTCGATGTTTCTCTCTCTCTCTCCCTCCCACTCTATCTGAACAAAAAGTAAAGAAATATCCTCGAGTGAGGATAAAAAAACATGTGCTCCAGTGGTGTAGGTGCCCATTTGTCAGACTCATGGGGGAAAATCTGTATCTACAATCCCCCGTTCACTGGGCCCAAACCTCAAAGGGTCTTAAGTTCCAAACAACTGCTCAGTTGCAGAGCTGAAGGCTTTTGCCCCCAGGAGAGTCCAGGTTGAAACCTGGGGTTGCAGTAAGGACTTAACCTAACAATGCAGAAAATACATTAAAAAGACTTTCTTCCCTTATCCCCATATCATTGCCTCCCCTGATTCAGGTTCCAGAAGTTTCCTAAAGGAAAACCAATTTTACATTTCTGTCACAACCCAGGTTCCACTTCCCCAGGATTGTGCTCTTCTCACAGACTTCAGTCCTTAGGGCCTCTGGAGAGGGAACTGGCTGTGCTGGGGCCAGGGCCAGCCAGTGTGCCGAGACCAAACGGCCCACATCACACCCTAACTTCAAAAGGTTTGTCTCCTTCTCTGTAGGGGTTCATTTGTTATCAACCTCAGGAAATTATGCCAAACCTCCGTCTCCTGTTTGATCTGCCTCTCTCCACTCCAACATATCAGGTCACAGTGAGTTAAATGGCATTGGCAAGACAATTTGTGGCCAATTTTCAAGTCCAACTAGACATTAGTCAAGTTCTACTTCGCTCTCTGGGCCAAGAGAAGATCCCCCCTCAGGGATGTTCTCCCTGAAAAGGTTGGATCATTGACTTAATCTCCCATTAAAAACAGGTCAACAAATTAACCCTGGGGAATTCCAGCTACAGGGAAGGAAAAAGTGCTGACTAAAAGAATTCTGCTAACCGAATGGGGATGGCCCAGAGATTCTGAGCTCAGGGGACAAGCATGATCACAGTAAATAGGAAAAGAACTCCCATTTCCAATTTCCTTTTTTTATTCTAAATAAAAACCACACTTTGTGCTGAACAATGGAATATAAAAGAATCAGATGTACAACAATTTTAGACATCTACTATTTGGGAAAAAAAGTTTACAAAATATACAAAACTTTACAGCAATAGATAGTAAACACTTAAATATTAGGAGGTCAGTACTTATTAATTTAATGGAAGGAGTTAGACATCAACAACTCTTCTCCATTTCATAAGGGACTTTAGCTAGTAGAGGTGGGAGGGGAGGGTGGACTGGACAAGGGAAGGGCATTAAAGAAATATTGAAATCCAAACAGCTTCATTTTCACCCTGTCAGCTTCACGATGAGTAGCCACATTGAAATGAATGCTGGGCCCTACTTCCTGACTCCTTCAGAGCAGGGTTTAGGAAAAAGGACGCATAGCGATTCCCAGATGGGCAGACTTCTCAGTGTCCATTTACATAGGGATTTAAATTCACTTCCACAGTTGAGTAGTTGGGGGGGGAGGGGGTAGAGCACAGCAGGAGGCCAGAAGAGGAAGAACAATCATCAGTAGCAAAACAGACTGGGGAGAAGATATTAAAGCCCAAAGGCTTATCCTGGAGACAAGGGTGCTGTCAGATCAGAAGTCAAAAAGAACTTTGACTCATTTTCTGGTTCTTAGGGGTCACCTCGGCCAGAACCTCACCCCCACCTCCTTTCTTCCCAACTAGCCGTGACCTATAGACTCCATGGAGTCTCAAAATTTAGGACCCAATACGAGGGTACAGCAGAGCTTCCCAGTGGGGCAGTGGGTCACAGAAGAGCCAGGAGTGATCCCCTCCTCTGGCCACAAGCAGCCTCTGCTCTTTATCCCAGTGTGCCATACAAGTATTACCCTTTCCCCTCAGGAAACAGGTTGAGAATTGCCTCATGCTTGCTTTAACGCTCTACAATTGCCATCTTGAAATTCTTAACTTTTAAACAAGAATCATACAGCCGGTAGAGTATAGAACAAGAAAAGGAAGAAAACAAGACATTCAAGGGTCGAACAGAAACTCGGAACAATACAGCAGGAGACGGTGCTTAACTGCGTTCCAGGGCAAAGGGTGCATCAAAATCAAATGAACAAAAGGTTGGGAAAAAAAACAAACTCAAAATAAAATGAATACCTTTCACTAGGTATCCTAGAGTGCCCTTTGCCACAACATAGTGTTTCAAGTAAAACAGTTCAGAAAAGGGTGAGCTGAGGCAGAGGCAGCAAACATGACCCCAAACAGAGGGAGGGTCAGATGTGAATGAATACAGGGACATGTGCAGGAACAGGGTTTGGTCAATGAGCCTCATGAGCTACTGACCCTGCCACATGCCTGACTGCAACCAACCTGGCCACGTGATCAACCTCTTGACCTCAGGAAGATCAGGGGGTGGTTTTTTGTTTAGTGTTTCAGGGGCAAGGTTTCAAGGATTTGCTTTTTGGTTTACTGGCAAAAAGGGAATACTTCACAGTTTCAGGTTAAATATACAGACTACCCAGCATCCATGATGCCCTCTGTTAAGGAAATGGGTTTCTCCAGCATACCGATCCATACTCAGATACCCAGCTGGGTTGTAGTACCACCTCTCTCAAATCTGGCCATTCAAAAATCAGTCCTCATCAACAGTCAGGGGTATCACTCGGGCTTGAAAAGCTTAGCAGACATTTGACAGTAGTCCTTCACATATGTTCCTTCTTCAGTTTCTAACAGTCAGTGTGGGAAAGGGAGAAGCAAGTCAGGGATGAAAAGTCTCAGCACTGTTTTCCCGACAAGAATGTCCCAAGGGAAGAGTCAACAAGTTGGATCTAGATGGTGAAAGGTGGCCACTTGTACAAGTCCTTTCATATCATATAGTGGTCACCCCACCAGAGAGCCGTGCACTCCAACTCAGAGGCTTTATATGTTTTGGGCTGGGGAGAGAGGCAGCAGGTCTACCAAAGATGAAGCTTTGGTTTGCCTGTGTGTCTTAGTACACCTTTCTGAGTTTAGGAGGGATGAGAAAATGTGCAAAAAGGTCCTTCATGTGACTTGGCCCCCTCAGCCCAGTCCCCAAACTACTCCTTCACAGGATGGAAGGATGAAAGGCCTAGGAATTGAATAAGCCCAAATTTCTAGAAATTACATCCATTGCTAAAGGGTTCCCTGGGTTTATTCTGCAAGAGCCGATCTAGGGAGAAAGAAAAGAAGTTGAATGTTTAAAGGCCTGACACATTCTCTTCCAGTTCTAGACTATTTCCCAAATGTATGGCCAGGATTCTCCCCTGGAATATGGCTCCTTGCTAGAGAGAAACTCATTTTCCTGAAGTCTCTTATCCAAAAGAGATGCTGGGTAACATGCATACAAAAATAAAAAATAAATAAATATTAATGTCCAAAAAGGCTTTGTGAGTTCATTAAAACCACTTGCTTGTGAAACAGCCTGGGGTGCTGCCAAGTCCCACCAGGGAGTATCAGGGCCCAGGCCAGGGACTCCCAGAGCTCGCCTGAGCACGTGAGGTAGTATGAGTTACTGAGGTGAG